AATGGTGGTGGTTCAGTTGCTAAGTTGTGTCTGACTCTTGTGACCCCATGGACTATAGCCCACCAGGCTCCTCTATCCATGGGATTTTCCAGGCAAGAATACTGGAGTGGATTGCCATTTCCTTTTCCAGGGGATCTTCCTAACCCAGGAATCAAACCTGGGTCTCCTGCATTGCAGGCAGATTCTTTACCGACTGAGCTATGAGGGAAGCCCACTGTCATTAAATATTATTCGCTATTATCCTAGCTATAATTGTCCAGTGCTTCCTTGTTGAGAAATCAGTGCTGCAACTGGAGTTTCAGAGTTGTATTGGAAAGAGCAGTGAGCTGTGAATCATGAGACATAGGTTCAACTCAAATTGTCATAAAAAAAATTAACTGGGGTGACCTTGGAAGAGTCATTAGAATGCTTTAAATCTGCTTCATTATATGTCAAACGGAAGGGTCAAGTTAAATAACTCTTATTTTTCCTTCAGTTTTAATATTCCAAGTCTCAGTGGTACTTTGGGAAGTCCCTTTTCTTCTTTACCTTGTGACTGTAGTATTTGGGTGCTGTCACCATCAATAGCTGTTTCAGTCATCTTATGTGAAAATAGTGACATTACATCTTGTGTTCTACCCAGAGTTTAGGTGACTCTTGGTATGGCCTCCTTTGAGATGTTTGGAGGGACTTCCTTCACACTTACCTCCTTTGATGTCTCAGTAAAGTGACAGTGACATGTCACATAATCAATGAAAGTCTTCCTTGGGCCAAAGCAAGGTAAAGTGCCACATGGTCCCTTCTCAGGCTTTCCTTTTAGGTTGTGACTACTGAGGTGAGGGTTCACTTGGGGATGAAGTATGTATTGAACGATTGTTAATTCCATTTGATAGATAACATAGAGACCACTGAAGACTGTAAGGATAGTTTTTGTGCAGGACTATTGCTACATAGAGATATGTGCCTGTGTATTGCCCAGAGGTGTTCAAGTGGAGGTATCATGTGGCCTCGAGTTCACACACACACACACACACACACACTATAATTTTATTTATAGCTAAGTTATGAAAAAGCAAGAGAGTTCTGGAAAAACATCTATTTTTGCTTTATTGACTACGCCAAAGCTTTTGACTGTGTGGATCACAATAAACTGGAAAATTCTTAAAGAGATGGGAATACCAGACTAGCTAACCTGCCTTCTGAGAAATCTGTATGCAGATCAAGAGCAACAGTTAGAACTGGACATGGAACAACAGACTGGTTCCAAATTGGGGATGGAGTATGTCAATGGAGTATATTGTCACTCTGCTTATTTATCTTTTATACAGAGTACATCATAAGAAATGCTGGACTGGATGAAGCACAATCTGCAATCGAGATTGCTGGGAGAAATATCAATAACCTCAGATATGCAGATGACACCACCCTTATGGCAGAAAGTGAAGAACTACAGAGCCTTTTGATGAAAGTGAAAGAGGAGAGTGAAAAAGTTGGCTTAAAACTCAACATTCAGAAAACTAAGATCATGGCATCTGGTCCCATCACTTCATGGGAAATAGATGGGGAAACAATGGAAACAGTGGCAGACTTTTTATTTTGGGGGGCTCCCAAAATCACTGCAGATGGCAAGTGCACCATGAAATTAAGACACTTGCTCCTTGGAAGGAAAGTTATGACCACCTAGACAGCATATTAAAAAGCAGAGACATTACTTTGTCAACAAAGGCCCGTCTAGTCAAGGCTATGGTCTTTCCAGTAGTCATGTATGGATATGAGAGTTGGATTATAAAGAAAGCTGAGTGCTGAAGAATTGATGCTCTTGAACTGTGGTGTTGGAGAAGACTCTTGAGAGTCCCCTGGACTGCAAGGAGATCCAACCAGTCCATCCTAAAGGAGATCAGTCCTGAGTGGTCATTGGAAGGACTGATGTTAAAGCTGAAACTCCAATACTTTGGCTACCTGATGGGAAGAACTGAGTCATTTGAAAAGACCCTGATGCTGGGAAAGATTGAAGGTGGGAAGAGAAGGGGACGACAGAGGATGAGATGGCTGGATGGCATCACCAACTCGATGGACATGAGTTTGAATAAGCTCCAGGAGTTAGTGATGGACAGGGATGCCTGGTATGCTGCAGTCCATGGGGTCACAAAGATTTGGACACAACTGAGCGACTAAACTTAACTGAACATTTTTGAATTAATTTTTGCATGTGATATGAGGTCTGAATCCAACTTTATTCTTTCACATGTGGCTATCCAGATGCCCCAGCACCAGCTGATGGTCTTGGCACCTTCATCAAAAACCACTTAACTATATATCTGAGGGCTTATTTCTGGGATCCCTATTCTATTCTTCTGGTTTATATATCTATCTATATGCTGGTACAACCTATTTTGATCATAACTTGATAGCAAGTTTTTAAACTAGGAAGTATCAGGTCTCTTAACTCTGTTCTCTTTCAAGTTGTTTTTTCTACTTGGGGATCCCTTGATATTCCGCATAAATTTTAGGATGGTTTTTTTTCTGTTGTTGCAGGAAAGTTTTGGGGGTACTTCCCTGGAAGTCCAGTGGTTAAGACTCTGCAGGGGGTGCAGGTTCGTCCCTGGTCAGGGAACTAAGATCCCACCTGGCTTACAGCATGACCAAGAAGTGAAAATAAAAGAAAAAATTTCAAAGTCTTTGGCATTATTCTGAGTGGTAGTCATATCTTAATAACATTAAGTCAATTCATAAACACAGAATGTATTCCCATTTATTTGCTGCTGCTGATGCTAAGTCGCTTCAGTTGTGTCCGACTCCGTGCAACCCCATAGACGGCAGCCCACCAGGCTCCTCCATCCCTGTGGTTCTCCAGACAAGAATACTGGAGTGGGCTGCCATTTCCTTCTCCAATTCCCATTTACTTAGGTATCTTTTAAATTTTTCAGCAATGTTTTATAGTTATATAATGTGTTTTATATATATATATATAATGTTATATGTAATGTTATATATAATATATATCTGAGGGTTTATTTCTGGGATCCCTATTCTATTCTTCTGGTTTATATATCTATTTATATGCTGGTACAACCTATTTTGATCATAACTTGATAGCAAATTTTTAAACCAGGAAGTATGAGGTCTCTAACTCTGTTCTTTTTCAAAACTGTTTTTGCTACTTGGGAATCCCTTGATATTCCGCATAAATTTTAGGATGGTTTTTTTCTGTTGTTGCATATATATATATATATATATAATATATATAATGTTATATAATGTTTTATAGTTATCAGTGTACAAATTTTTCATCTCCTTAATTAAATTTATTCTGACATATTTTTATTATTTTGGATGCTATTAGAAACACAATTACTTTCTTAATTGCCTTTTTGGATTGCTCATAGGTAGTAGGTATAAATTTTGTGTGTTAAAAAAATTTTTGTGTGTTTGTGAATTTTGTGTGTTAATTTTACATTGTGCGACTTATTTTTTTTAAGGTAACTATATGTTTATTGAACATCCATGTTAATAAACATGTTAAATGTTTAAATAAACTTTTTATTTAAAATGTTTATATGTTAAATAAACCTGTTGTGGTAATCATTTCACAATACATGTAAATCAAACCATCATGCTGTACTTATACATTGATGCACGTCAATTATTTCTCAATAAAACTGGAAAAAACAGTCTCTTGTTAGAAAACACATAGATGGATCATGGTTTTTTCTTCCAGTTTTTTTTATGTTTGCCGTCTTTTTAAATCCATCCTGCCAACTTTTACTCTTTAACTGGAGTCTTTAATCCATTTATTTAAAGTAATTATTGTTTAGGAAGGACTTCTGATGCTTCTAATTTGTCTTCTTTATGTCATACACTTTATTCTTCAAATCCTCCATAACTGTCTTCTTTTATATTTGATATTTATTATAGTGTACCATTCTTATTCCTAGTTTTCTTTTCTGCAATTTTAAAGTTATTTCTTGGTGATTGCCTTGGGATTAAAATTAATTTCTTAAAATTTTAACAATCTATTTAAAAATAATACTACCTTACTTCCATTATGTAAACTGCTTCTATACAGCTAAATCCCACTCACTTTAAGTTGATGCCATAAATTATATCATTAAACTTTGTATGCCCGGTAGCATAGACTTGGGCTTCCCTGGTGGCTCAGAGGTTAAAGCGTCTGCCTGCAACACAGAAGACCTGGGTTCCATCCCTGGGTCGGGAAGATCCCCGGGAGAAGGAAATGGCAACCCACTCCAGTATTCTTGCCTGGAGAATCCCATGGATGGAGGAGCCTGGTGGGCTACAGTCCACGCGGTTGCAAAGAGTCGGACACGACTGAGCGACTTCACTTTCACTTTTCACTTTAGCATAGATTTAGAATTATTATTTAATGCATTTATTTTAAATCACATTGCAAAAATACAGGAGTTACAAATCAAAATTACAATACTGGCTTTTGTATTTACCTATGTAGCTACCTTTATCAGTGCTCTTTATTTCTTTCTATGTCTTTGAGTTACTTTCTAATAGTGGTAAATGTAATGTATTCTTTCTGAATTAGGCAAGAAAAGACAAATGCCTTGAGTCAATATTCCAGGAAGCTTCTAGACACGTTAAAACATACAAGCCAAATTCTTTGAGAAAAAGGTCTGCTCTGTTCCTTCTAGAACCAAGAGCCAGGGTCTCACACTAGGAAGGCAGGCTTCGGTCTTTAAGACCACCACTGCATCCGGGAGGGGAGTGGGACAAGAGAAAATAAAGATGCCACAACCTTCCCTTAATATGTGAAGAGTATAAAGTTCAATGATATAGTTTGTATAAAAATCAAGATTTATAATTATGCTATTCCAATCTTCTGAATCTGTATTTATTACTTATTAACTAAATTGTCAGATTTTGAAAGCTGTAGATCACAGTACCCAGCTATTGTGATTTGGCCAAATCATTTCATTTTGCCTTATATACTTCATTATAGTAGTTGTTAATCAACAGACCCAACAGATGTATATTAAAATATGGTAATTTACCAAGCAGAATATAACATAAATTACCTTTTTCTTCTTTCAAGATTTTGTCACATTGAACGTCTTTATTCTTTGGTGCTCCATTAATAGTCTGCATCATCCTTTCTACGTATAAGTCATTGCCCAATCTATTTCGACAAAGAGTCTCATAGGTCTTGTTTCTCTGGCTATAAAAAAATAATATATATTCAATGTACTAATAAAAATTAATTTTTACCACACATATCTTTTTATATTATACTTTTTCTCAAAATTACATTATTTAATGTAGATTGCACTAAAAAGTGAACAATCAAAAAGTGAACAATCAAAAAATCTTAGGAAAAGATTGCATTAAACTACCTCCAAAGGACTCTTTTACACTATACTCCCCAACATCCGTACAACTTTGAGTACCCACCAATAGTACAATAGGCCTTGCACTATTTCCACATAGGTTTTATGAACTTTGATACAGACACTCAAAGAAACCACACATTTCTCTCAAAGTACTACTTTTGTGTCATTCCATATTATGTATTGCATGTGTGTGTGTGTTTGTGCTCAGTCGTGCCCAACTCTTTGCAACCCCATGGACTGTTGCCTACCAGGCTCCTCTGTCCATGGGATTCTGCAGGCAAGAATACTGGAATGGACTGCCATTTCTTTCTCTGGGGTTCTTCCTGACCCAGGGATCAAATCCAGGTCTCTTGCATCTCTTGCATTGGCAGGTGGATTCTTTTCCACTAGCATGGCCTGAGAAGCCCTGTACTATGTATTATTTTCATAATTATTTAATTCTGAGTATTTCTTTGATTTCCATTATGATTTCTCCTTTGGTTCATGAGGAATTTACAAAATGCACTTTTTAACTTTCAAGAGTGTATGTGAATATATCTCTATGTTTTAGTTGAGATTTATGCTATTAATTTTTAACTTCATCCCACTGTGGTCAGAGAATTTAATTTGTCAGATATCACTTTTTTGAAATTTTTGAAAACTTGCTTCATGGCCTTGTACATGGGTGAGTTGTATAACATTCCATGTGTGCTTGAAAAGAGTGTGTGTCCTCTAACTGTTGAATTCAGAGTTCTATATATTACCATTAAACTACAGTTTTGGTTCAAATTTTCTGTAACTATACTAATTTTTTATCTGATTGACTTATCAATAATTAAGAGAGGCATGTTTATATCTCCTATTTTAATACTTATCAAGTTTCCAATTTTTTTCTCATATATTAAGAGGTTATTTTATTAGAAGTTTCATGTTTAGAATTATTATACCTCCCTTATCATTATGAAGTGACTCTATCTCTAATAACACTATTGGCTTCTCTGTAAATGATATGTTCTTTACTGTTTTCTTCTGCTTTAAAATCTTTTAGGGATTATCTTCGTGGTCCAGTGGCTAAGAATCCACCTTTCAAAGCAGCGGACATGGTTCAATCTCTGGTCAGGAAAATAAGATCCCACTTGCTACAGGGCAATGATGTGCTGTAACTGGTGAAGCCTGCACGGTGCAACTACTGAGTCCACCTGCTCTGGAGCCCCTGTGCCACAAGAGAGGCCCATGTGCGGCAGCAAAGACCCAGAATAGCCAAAAAAATAAAAAATTCTTCTTTTAATATTTGGTATTTTGGAGTATGAGTACAATGTATCCATTGGTGTGTGTGGATTTCTTTTTTTTTTTTTTTAATTTATTCCTATTTCTGTGGAATGGTGTTTTTCAACAGTTTGGGGAAATCCTTTCTGTCTTTGAATAGCACCTCTCTTCCAATCTTTGCATTCTGCCCTTTTGGAAATGATTAGGTGTACATTAGACCTTTAGCCTATTATCAATATCTGTTTAATTTCTCTCTGATGCTTTAGGTATCATTTTTCTCTCCAAGATTTTGTATAACTTAGATCTAAGTTTTGATTTATTAAATAGTTATTCAATCATCTTATTTAAATTTTAAATGCTTACTTTTTTAATAACAAAGATGAAAGCTTTGTTTACTTTTAAATTTTAATAACTATATAAACTAAACTTTATTTTAAAATTCTTTTAAAATGTTTTTGCAATTATCAGTCATCATTTTGATAGTTTCTTAGGGTTAATGATGTTCTAACTCTATCTTAGTTTTCTTATAATTTTTTAAGTTATTTTTGACTGTGCTAGATCTTCACTGCTGTGTGTGGGCTTTCTCTAGCTGCAGCAAGCAGGGGCTACTCTCTAGTTGCAGCGTGCAGGCTTCTCATTGCAGTGGCTTCTCCTGTTGCAGAGCGCCGGCTCTAAGGTGAGCAAGTTCAGCAGTTGTGCTCAGGCTCCGCAGTTGTAGCGAAGGCGCCTACTTGCTCTGAGGTGTGTGGGGCAGAACCAATGCCCCCTACATCATGAGGTGGACTACTCTCAACTACTGTAACACCAGAGAAGCCCTTTAACTCTTTTATTTAAATATTTCACATATATTTTATACTTTGTATTTGGTATCATCATTATCTACAGTCCTCATGATCTAGATCTAGGATTTCTTTTTTAACTTTTTAACTTTTTTAACTTCTCATCCATATTGTCTCGTTTCTTTATCGGTAATTTTTACTTAACACACTGAGGAAACCTTAAGAGTCTAACTGGGATATGCCTTCCTCCAGAGAAGAGTTGTATTTCCTTACGATAGTAGCTAGGAGACCCTACTGACCTGGCCCACTTGAGATAACTGAGACCATTTTAAGGGTCTTGGTTTAATATAAGAGTCTCTTTTTTGATTCTCTCAGTTGGGGGGGGGATCTAAGACTTACTGGTGGGCTCTAGATCCATGTGCTAATATTATCATTTGCCTCTAGCATCTTTCCCTATCTAATTTTAGATCACTTATCTATCCCATTGTTATTCTTTTCCTTTTCTTTTTCTGGTCCTAGGAGTTTTCCCTTATGTCTCTTGTGCTTTAAAAAAGTATGTTATTCAAGATCTAATTGTATTATATTTTATAGTCCAAATAATTTTACAATATTTTATATATGGGGAAAAATAATATCATAAAAGTTATGCTGGTGATGAATTTTTTAGTACTATGAATCATATTCAAATTATACTTGAAGGCAAATAATCTGAATAACCATATAAATACTCAATAATCTATTTATGTAGCTATATTAATTTAGACAAAGCACACTTCAGAGCAAGGAAAATTATTTGAGATAAAGAGGGGCATTATATAATGATAAAGGGGTCAAGTCTACAAAAAGATGTATCAATCCTTTATGTATATGTGCCTAACAGCAGAACTTCAAAATACATGAGACAGAAACTAATAACCCATTTATATTCATTAATAAAGAGAAATGGAAAATCTGCTCTCAATAGTAAATTCCATCAAATCCCCATAACACATTTTCCCTTCTTAAGTTTAAGTTGTTTTGAATATAAAACTGGCAGTCATTTCTTTTTAAACTGAAAATAATTCATATATGTATAAAAGAAAAAAATCATTAAAACCTATACTGAGACTTAGAAACTTCCTTTATTTCTTTTGTTATTTGACTTAGTAGCTCACCTATTTTTTAAAGAATATGGTAAAGCTATGAGTTACTCCTCTAGGAAGAACATACAACATATATACTTTACATGTAATTTCATGGGGGTACAAATATTACTTTATAGGATGCAATTTCACAAGGCACATATACCACCAGTGTTTATCCAGAAATCCTCAAAGACAGAAACAAGAATAGAGCCCTCTGATTTAGCATTTAAATTACAAAAGTAATGTAAACAATTAAACCACACATACCTTACTTTCTCAGCTTCTTCAGATTCTACAGAAAACATAACTGTTGGTAGATTTAAAAAGTTCATTGTTTCTGTCTCTGTGAGAATTATCTCTATAGTCTTCTCCAGGTCTTCTTTTGTTATAATTTTTCCAGTTGTTGCCCTCATAACTTGTAAATCTAAAATATATAACTTAATGAAAATAATCTACTAACTGCTAATTTTAATCTTCATTTCATCAAAATGTCATGATGAGTCATACATTGCAGGTGGCTTTATATGCTCAGAGAATACGGCATGTTGTGAGATGTAGTCTATTTAAACTCGCTGAAGCCAAATTGGATCCTATGGCTCATAAACCATCTCTGTTGCTGATATTTCAAGCTTACCCCAATATCAAGTGTAGAGTCACCCCATTACATCAATATCAAGTGTAAAGGGCATCCCATCACATCTATCCCATAATATTAACAGGGAGATTGAGGTGAATGACTGTTGATACAACTCATAAGGAATATGGACAAGTGTATTTCCCAAATAACATGCAAACCTTCTCCGAGTCCTGAAGTTAATTTCTTGTCTAGATCTAATATCTTGTCTATATCTTCTTGTCCTTCTTATGTGTTGACTTTTGATTTAGATGATAGCCCACCTCTAATCATCTTCACCAAGAGCTCAAAAGATTCTCCAATGAAAGTTGTGGTTAAATACAGGAGAAAAACAGACTTAATATCCATGCAAAAAATACATTGAAAAGAGTTAATCTCAAGTCTGTAGTCTAGGCAGAAGTCCAAGGTTCTTAAAAAATTTCACTGAGGACAGAGCTTCAGGGCTGGGAGTTTGGACTTGGTTGTATGGGTAATAAAGGAGCCATGACAAGGGTATATAGGTCAGAATTCAATGTTTTCTGTTAAAAATCAGGGTGAGAAGCAGGGCTCCATGAGATTCTGACATGGGCAAAGCTTGAATAGACAAAGGGTATAAACTTTCCAGAGATTAAGTCTTAGTTTCCTTAAGAAGTCCCAGAGTATGAGAAAAACACCTTTTTCATAGACTAAAAAAAAAATACAAGCTACTAATTCCACAGATCAATCACCAACATTTGGAATTGATAAATAAATTAGAGTATACTCACCTATGAATATTAAGTAGTAATTAAATATGATATTAAAATTATGAAAATGTTTGTGATAAAATGTTAAGTAACTAAATAGTCCATGACAAAATCCATGGTATGATTTTAACAATTAAAATACTAGTGCACATGGAGAAGCTGAGGAAACAAAATTTTAAATTATCAATCCTTTATAGTATTGGATAGTTCTTTTTAAAAATGTTTTTTAATTTTTATTATTCATGCAATAAATTTAAAATGAGGGAGAAATGATTTATATAAGTAAATCCACCTACATAGCAGATATAGGGTAAGTGAAAAAGTAAATAAACTATCCACATGGACACAATTGGAGATATATCTAGTCCAAACTGTTAGCTTGATCAATGAAGAAAATGAGAAACAGACAGGCTAAATGAGAAGTTTAAAGTCACACAGGCAGTTTTGAGCTCTTCTCTAAACTTCCTTTCTTTAAGACCACCAGGTCTTCCTCTATGATTTAGCTACATATACCTCAAAGTAGCTATGACAAAACTAGACAGCATATTAAAAAGCAGAGATATCACTTTGAAAACAAAGGTCCATATAGTCAAAGCTATGGTTTTTCCAGTAGTCATGTATGGGATGTGAGAGTTGGACCATAAAGAAGGCTGGGCACTGAAGAATTGATGCTTTCAAATTGTGGTGCTGGAGAAGACTCTTGAGAGTACCCTGGACTGAAAAGATATTTAAACCAGTCTATCCCAAAGGAAATTAACCCTAAATATTCATTGGAAGGACAGAAGGTAAAGCTGAAGTTTCAATACTATGGCCATCTGTTGTGAAGAGGAGACTCGTTGGAAAAGACCCTGATGCTGGGAAAGATTGAAGGCAATAGAAGGGAGTGACAGAGGATAAGTTGGTTACATAACATCACCAACTTAATGGACATGAATTTGAGCAAACTCTGGGAGATAATGGAGGACAAAGGAACCTGGTGTGTTACAAACAGTCCACAGGGTCACAAAGAGTTGGACATGACTTAGGAACTGAAAAACAACCTCAAAGTACCATTATGACACAGATATGCTAATTATAAAAATGAATGATCTTACAGTAGATAGAACCAATAGAGTAACACCTTAGTTACCTACCAGGATTGAGTAGAGTAGTAGTTTTCCTTTAATTAGTGGCAGAGGATCTACCATTCATAGACAAAACCCTAGGATGGCACAAAGAATTTTTGTCTGGATCTCTCTAGCAACCTTTGCATGAATGTTGGTTGAATATGTTATATATTGAGAAACTGCCTCAAACTCCACTATATACCTATGCTGCTAAGTCACGTCAGTCGTGTCCAACTCTGTGCAACCCCATAGATGGCAGCCCACCAGGCTCCCGTCCCTGGGATTCTCCAGGCAAGAATACTGGAGTGGGTTGCCATTTCCTTCTCCAGTGCATGAAAAGTGAAAAGTGAAAGTGAAGTCGCTCAGTCGTGTCCGACTCTTAGCGACCCAATGGACTGTAGCCTACCAGGCTCCTCCATCCATGGGATTTCCCAGGCAAGAGTACTGGAGTGGGGTGCCACTGCCTTCTCCCACTATATACCTACAGAATCTGTCTATTCATGGACCAGATACCCTAACCCTAAATGGACTTTAAACCAGATTTAACTACATATCACTCTCCACCTAGAAACACATCACAATATATCAATCTGCCTTGCCTGTTCTTATTTACTGCTGGTGATGGAGGGAACATAGTTCCACTCCTGATGATTCTTACAGAAGGAAGCAGCTCTAGAATGACAATCTTGGCTCTTCTCTACCTTTACTCATGATTCCCACTGAGAGGGTTGCGGTAGGCCTGAGATGGTCTGATGTTTTATTGAATGGGTGGGTAAGTCTGTCAAATTTGAGAGTTTAACAGCAGGGCTTTATTCATAATGTGATATTCTGGCTCCAATATACCATATCTACAGTTATTACATTTTTCAATCAATTCAGAACTGTATAGGGGAAAAGAGATGTCATTACTTGGCTAACTTCAAAGACCCCAGTAGCTAATCATCTATGAAGCCTTCCTTGGCCTCTGCCTAAGCTAGAATTGGTGTGATACAATTGCAGTGCAATTCAGTCACATAAGCATCTTATTCTCATCCTTCCTCACAAATTACATATGTATCAAGACACTTTATGAGTTCATGTAAAAGATAGCAATTCAACTGTTCTCTGAGACCATCCACAATCTATTGGTAAGATGATGTTTTGGCTCCTACCTTGCCATTAAAACCAAACGCTTTTGTAACCATAAGCCTCCTTTTGGTTATACAGTAAAAGCAATGGTTCTCAAACCTTAGCATGCGACAGAATCATCTGGAGAGCTGATTAAAGTAAAGACTGCTGTGACTCACCCCTAGACACTTTTCTAACATTTAATAAATATTAATTTTAGAACAGTTTTATATATAACAGAAATCCACAAGAATATTACAAAGAGTTACTATATACCCTGTACCCAGTGTTTCCTATTGTTAACATTACTTTGGTACCTTTATCACAACTAATAAACCAAAACTGATGCTTCATTATTAGAAAAGTGAATACTCTATCCCAATTTCCTTAATTTTTAACCAATGTCCATCCTTTTCCTTTTTCAGGATATATTGTAGGATATATTATGTACATGTATATACATGTAGGATATATTATGTCTATCGATTGTGTCTCCTTAAGTTTCCCTAGACTGTGACAATTTCTCAAACTTCCCTTGTTTTGATGACCTTGAGTTTTGAGGAATACAGGTCATGTATTCTGTAGAATGTCCATCAGTAGGGTTTGTCTGATATTAGACAGGTTATGGATTTCTAGGAGGAAGACTACAGAGGTAAAGTTATTCTCATATCATATCAAGGGTACATGCTATCAACACGACTTACTACTGATGATGTTCACCTTGACCTGAGGTAGACTTTGTCAGGTTTCTCCGCTTTAAAGTTACTCTTTCCCTCCCCACTTCTATATCCTGTACTTCTTAGAAGTTGATATGCAAAGCCCACATTTAAATGAGACAGAGTTAACCTCTGTCTTCTTGAAGGAGAAACATCTACATAAATCATTTGGAATTCTTTTGTATACATTTGTCTGCTTTCACTCATTAATTTAATCAGTCATTCACTTGAATCACCTTGGACTCATGGATATTTACTTTATATTTTGGGTTGTAATCCACTATGACATAACATATTTTGTTCTTGAAATTATTCCTCCTATTACAATTGCAAGCTGTTGGCTGCTATGTCCTTTTCACACACCTCAGATTTTTTGTTTGTTTAATGTAGTTTTTTCTCTTTAACACTTGTTTCAGTTCAGTTCAGTTCAGTTGCTCAGTCACGTTCGACTCTTTGCAACCCCATGAACCGCAGCATGCCAGGCCTCCCTGTCCATCACCAACTCCCGGAGGCTACCCAGACTCATGTCCATCGAGTCAGTGATGCCATCCAGCCATCTCATCCTCTCTCATCCCCTTCTCCTCCTGCCCTCAATCTTTCACAGCATCAGGGTCTTTTCCAATGAGTCAGCTCTTCGCATCAGGTGGGCAAAGTATTGGAGTTTCTAACACTTGTTTACTTTCTGATTTACCTTATATATTCTCCGTTCCAGTCTAGAAGCAGTAATTTCTCTAAAGACCCCTGGTTCCTTTTATTGGAGAACAGTATCAGAAAACAAGATCTGGGTATGCTTGTTGCTACAGGGGTGTCATTTCTTCTAGGCTTTCTTAGCAGACAGAGCTTAAGAAATATTTGTGTCTATAGTAAACCTCCTCCCCCCCCCCCAACACACACACATATAATCTGTATATACACTAAGCTAAACATTAGTTTACTCTTTCTGATTCTCACTCAGTATCATATGGATAATTCTAACCTTTTCCCCTTGTTTGCCTGCAACCCCC